TATATATATATATATATATATATATATTATAATAACAAGTTCACATTTTCTTGCTTAAATTTATCCTGATATAGTTCTTCGTGTCTTACTTTCTAAGTGTTGACTGTTGTTGTCTTATAATTGCCGTTGAAGATCAATCTGTTGATGGTATTTTATTTCTTGTCGATACTGTCATAATCTATCGTTTGAGATGCTTCTGTCATTGAGCTCACTATTTGCCTTAAAATTATTTGACAGTAAATTGGTCAAAAATTGGTAGAATCAATCTAAAAACTAATAAAATTAGTAAAATAATATGGTCAAATCAATTTGAACATGTTCAACTAAAAATTTATTTTATATTTTTAAAATTTAATTTAAAATATTTTTAATAAAAATACATATTTAAGAATTATAAATTTAGATAACTTATTTTTTTTAGGCAAAGAAAAAATATATTAAAAAAGAGTACAAAGGGGTACTCTAACCCATAATACAAAAAATTAACTTCAAAAATCTTAGACAGATATATGAAACTAACAAAAATACCAACTACCTAGTGAGTACAATCAAGTGCTTGGACAACTATTGCTAGACATTAGTAACTCTCGAAACCAAATAGTGAGCTCAATGACAGAAGCATCTCAAACGATAGATTATGACAGTATCGACAAGAAATAAAATACCATCAACAGATTGATCTTCAACGGCAATTATATTCCATCATAACATTGGAATGACACCTTTCAAAGCCATTTTTGGCAAAGATCCTCCCTCAATCCACCCGTATGAATGTGATGCAAGGGACCCTGTTACATTACAAGAGTCACTGACAGTTAGAGATGTGGTTTTACAACAATTAAAAACTAATTTGACAAAGGCTCAAAATTACATGAAGTTGCAAGCAGATAAAAAAAGAAGGGAATTTCATTTGGAAGTTGGTGAATTGGCTTTGGTCAAGCTACAACCATACAGGCAACATTCAGTAGCTCTTAGAAAGAATAAGAGATTAAGCATGCGATTTTTTGGACCATTTGAAGTACTTCAGCGTATAGGTTCTGTTGCTTATAAACTGAAGTTACCTGATACTGCCTGAATTCATCCTGTGTTTCATATCTCACTGCTTAAGAAGTTTCATGGAAGTAGCCCTCAACAATATTTTCGATTGCCTTTAACCACTACAAATGTTGGTCCAGTGTTACAGCCATCTCAAGTCCTTGATACTCATAGTGTTTTAAGGGGCTCTCAAATTGTTCCTCAGGCTTTGATTCAATGGAATGTCACTGAACCTCATGAAGCTACTTGGGAAGATGTTCAAGATTTATGTCAGAATTATCCTCTTTTTAACCTTGAGGACAAGGTTTCTTTCAAAGGAAAGGGTATTGTAACATGCAGCAGTCAGAAATTGGCATCTGGATCAGTTAAAATAGTTGACCACGTGTCAAGCATTCCGGAAGGTGTGGAAGACGTTGGCCATAAGTCAAGTAATGAGGGCGAGGAAGTTGTGAGAAGGAGTTCACGTGATCGAAGAACGAGCGTGTATTTGAAGGATTTCGTGGCATAGGAGAGGAGGTTTTTTCTGGTATTGAGTTCTTCTTCTGATTTCTCTCTTTCTGATTCTCTTATTCCCTTCACTCTAAATTCTTCTTTCTTCTTGCTTCAGATTTGTAAACTTTGCAATACAAGAATTGGTTGTTCCATTCATATCAGATTTCTACTGCTACAGAAGATGTTTGTGGTTGCTGAGTTGCCATTCCGATTTGTGGAGAATGAATTATTTATCAAGTTTTTAAATGTGTTGCAACCACGATTTAGTGTCCCATCACGCTCTACATTAACCCGTCATATTTTTATACTCTTTAATGAGGAGAGATAAAATTTGAAGAAATTTCTTTCTATGCATTGTGGGAGAGTTTGTCTTACAATAGACACATGGGCATCAATCCAAAACTTGACTTATATGAGTTTGACTGCACACTTTGTTGATAATAATTGGAAGTTGCAAAAGAAAATTTTGAACTTTCGCCAAATCATGGGACATTCATGAGAGATTATGGCAAAAAAATGTTGAGATATGCTTGAATGAATGGGAGTTGAATCTGGTTTTTAGTTTAACTATGGACAATGCTTCATCTAATGACCTTGAGATTGAATACTTGAAAAAGAGGTTGATGTCTTGGCATAGTGTACTTTTGAAGGGGGAGTATATTCATATGTGTTGTTGTACGCATATTTTGTGTTTAATTGTAAAGGATGACCTTAAAGAGGTAGATGAATCCATTTTAAGAATTTGTGGTGTAGTCAAGTACATTAGATCCTCACCATCTAGATTGGCTAGATTCAAGGCTTGTGTTGAACAAGAGAAAATTACCTATAAAGGCCTTGTTTGTCTAGATGTTGAAACTAGGTGGAATTCAACTTACTTAATGTTGGAGGCAGCTCTCAAGTATAAAAAAACATTTGACTTACTTGAAATGCAAGATAATAAATATGTTGAGGATCTACATAAAGGGAAAGGTGTACCATTTGAATCTGAATAGGATGATGCTTGTTTGCTCTTACCTTTCTTGAAGATATTTTATGATGCAATGATACGTATTTCTGGTTCTTATCTCATGTCACTAGTAATATATATATATATATATATAGGAAGTATTTGCAATTGGAAGGAAGATTCGCAAGTGTCAAGAGAATAATGATATTTTCATAAGGTCAATGACTACTTGAATAAGAATTAAATATGACAAATATTGGGGAAGACCTAATGGAATTAACATGTTGTTATTTATTGTTGTTGTCCTTGATCCTAGGTGTAAATTGGAATATGTTAACCATTACATTGACTATTTATTTGATGATGATCAGGCAAATGAATTAAAGTTAAAGTTGTCTTCTAGTTTAAGATCACTTTATAAGTAGTACCAAGGTATTGAGGAGGGTTCTCATAGTAATCACCAAGTAGTACAATTGGATGATGATGATGATGATGATATCCATGGTATAAGTTTTTATTTACAAATAAATGGGCGTAGATTTGATGCAAAATCTGAGTTGGACAAGTATCTAAAAGAAGATTGTGAGTCTTTCATCAAGTCAGTTGAATTTGATATTTTAAATTGGTGGAAAGTAAACTCAACTAGATTTCCAATCCTTGGAAGTATAACTCGAGAAGTGTTAGCCATTCTCGTTTCTAAAGTAGCATCAGAATCTTCATTTAGTACTGGAGGAAGGGTTCTTGATCCTTATTGGAGTTCTCTTAATCCTAGAATGGTGGAAGCACTAGTTTACGCGCAAGATTAGTTGAAAGGATCACCTTTTTTAGTATTTACTAATGAGGACTTTGAAGAGCTTGAGAAATTAGAGCATGGTAAGTTAATATGAATGTTCTACATATTTTTATTATGTTTTTACAATAACTTCAAAATTATGAAATATGTTTATCTTTTTTTTCTTTTTGCAGAGATATTGTCTCCACAAGAAGAGACTTCATTGACCACTATTAGTCTTGATAATTAACATTAGGTGAATGATTTCATTGCATAAATATTTAATATCTATACAATGAAAATTCCATAGTACTTTGTTTATTTAGCAAGTTAAATCTATATTGCATATTATTGTGATAATTTTTTTTAGGTTACAAACTATTTCAATATCAAGAAGCCTTGGACTGTACATACAATATTGTAATTGACATGATCAAAGGAAATTCTCTAGAGGAAGTTTGGAAGACTGAGATTTGATTGATTTTCAAAAACTATGAATGAAAGATCTATCATGTGGACTTTTATCAATGTTATACTTGTTTTACATTTCAAACTATTTTAAATTTAATTCATAATTAATAACAATGATTTGGTAGCTCAATTTAAAAATGTTAATTTTAATTTTTTTAATGTAGTTCAATTTAGTTTATAGTTACTAATAGTTTAATTTAGTTGATATTATAGTTTAGTTCAAACTCCTAAAAGTATAGTGCACTAAACTAGATAATAGTTTAGTTTAGTTTAGCCAATATTTATTTAGTTCAATTCAATTTGGTGAACTCTTTATTATAGTTCAGTTTAGTTTTCTTCTAGTTTAGTTCAATTTAGCAATTTGAACATCCTTAGTTATGGCTATAGGTAACCCTATTATATTTAAGATGATTACATTAATGACGGTCGCATTTGCAACTAACAACGAACAAACTTGTAAACCATTGAAAAAAACACCAATAACTATTGACACTCAAATGGGCGTATAAATTATTTTTAGGTAGACACATGTAGCAAACAATCTTGAAAAAGAGAACGTGAAAATTAGTTTAAAATATAGAATGAGATCTCTCCAAGAAGATTTGTCAAAAAGATTAAATTTTCTTATTGGCTCACTTCCAAGAATGTCTCATCTCAGAAATCCCCCACGTTGAAACTGAGAGAGGGAACCTTAGCTCACTCCAACGGAGGATTGAGGAAGGTAACCTACCATGTTATTCATGTGGCACAAGAAGAAACAACAAATATCAACTTACTCCTTGTTTCTTCTAGCAAAAGTTATCTTAGTTGTTCAGTAATTTCAAATGGTATTTAAGTACCCTATTCTTAACCAAGCTTTTTAAACATGAAAATAAGACTTAATTTGGTTTATATATGGAAAGGATATCAACCTCACATAAAAATCTTTGCTTTTCACGTAATTGGGTCCTAACCTTGTTTTGAACTAAATTTGGGGACTTAAACATTCTCTACAAGAGGGTGAATGATGCAGATCAACACACAATGACAAGTAACACGAAAAAAAGTAATACTAGAAGATATGGGGTATATGTTGTTACTATATTTATCTCTGTATTTTTCAATCATATCAGCAAAGATTGAGATGTAATCTGGAAGGTAATTTTAGATGATTTGCATATATATTTGATTCTACTATCTTAGGAAAGTAGGTGGTGTGATAGCATGATACTAGGAGAATTATGTGGGATATTAATGGTATCATTCTTGTATATATCTGTCCACAATTGCCTAATATAAATCAACAATTTCAAGAATCATATTGTGACATGGTATCAAGAGCCACATGATAGAAATCGTAAAGCCTCAAATCGATGGTACCAAGAAACCTCCAAATCTCCGAATGTAAAGTTTTAGGTCGTATTTGATGTAAATCTTTGAATTCTTTACATTTATTGCACCTTTTTACATACTCTTTGCA